CCTGGAAGTGACGTCATCTCCTATGGGGGACACTCTAGCATTCACCAAAAACTCTATGGTCTAACTAGCCATGCAGGGTTCAGCTGTGCCTTTAGGGCTCCAGGAAGGGGCCAGTAGGACATCTTTGTACCGGCTGTCAGGTTTTGAAAGGGAGACTGCAGCTTCCCTCCCTTGATCATCTCCTGGTTTTAACACCATTCACAAATCCTGCTGATGCATTCCAGTGAGACTCCTTATTGCATAAATAGATTTTTGAAAGTTGGCATAATTTTTTCTCCGTCCTTTTGTAAAGTTTGATTTCTTTTCAAGGCAAGCCGTTGTTCGTCCTCTGCACCTGAAATTTGTTTTCGTCTCTCCGTTCCCAGCTTTTGAAAGGCTATCTGATCAAACCCATATTTTTAAATATATGTATTTATAGTCAGATGGGAGAATAGTTTTGCCTTCAAAGTATGATCTTTCTTGCAAATGGGAGAAAATTGTGGCCTTTTTTTAATATTGCTTTATCAGTTGCTTTTTTTATTACTGATGACTTCATTCTGTTTGAATTCAATGCTTTGGTTTCTTTGGAGTAAACTAATAGATTATGTATGCGATATTTGCCCAGCCCTGATTGAATTCATCTGGTGAGTTTGAATGTGGTTCATATATTCATGTAATTGTCAGGAGCCAAGCTGAAATTCAGAACTGTTAAATGATCAGGCATCACAGTCATTTCACATTTCCCGGGTCTTAAAGGAGAGGCCTTTCTTTCTTTTTTCTTTTTCTTTTTTTGGTTACTCGGTTCATATTTCTCACCCCAATTAGACTTAGTTATTTTTTTAAGGCAGTACCTTTAACTGTATTGGTGTGGACAGTGATTGAGAAAAATCCATCAAAGGCTATGCCTGGGGGTTTTGTGTTGGTTGGATAAAATGGGGGATACCGATGAAGGCTTGCCTTTTGTCAGATAAATAGCTCTTTCTTCCCTTCAAAAGAATCCTGCTCTTACTTTAATATGGAACTTTGTAGCCCTGACCCCCCTCTAAATTGCCAGTGATTTGCAAAAGAAAGGTCACCAAATTCATTCTAAACCATACCACAGCTTGATTTTTAGGTAGTCCCTAGTACTGAAGTCTGTGGGCCAGGTTATGCTTACAATTATCCAGCAGAAAATATCATCTGGGAGGTGTGCAGCCCCACAAAACGTAACCGTTGTACCCACCATTTTCTGTCATTAGTCTCTTTAGTAAGCACAGCTTCTGGAAAGCCGTTGTAAAGAAAGGGAGGCAAGGAACCATATCCCAGCAGTCTGGTGTCTGAAAAAAATAGGACGTGTCATTTTAATGAAAGAAAGTGCATTAGCTGGCTTAGAGAGAAGGTACGTGAAACCCCTTTCAGGGATACGTTGAGTGCTGAAAATGTTCTAGGCGGAGAATACCTTGACGTAGGGAAATTTATGACCTTAGCAGATGGAGGTTGTTTTGTATTTATATATTTAAGTATGTATACCTTGCTTTTCTCCATTTTACCCTTACAACAACCCTGTGAGGCATATTCAGGCGGGGAGCTGTGTTGGTCAGAAGCAGCAGAACAAAGTTTGAGTCAAGCGGCACCTTTGAGACCAACGAAGTTTTATTCAAAGTGTAAGCGTTTGTGTGCAAAACACACTTCTTCAGACAAAACTGGAATAAAATCTCAGAAGCTAGTTACAGGGGAAAAGAGAGTTGGGAGTAAGCCGTTAGGAGAGGCCACTCAGAGCCCAGATGGGTATGCGGAGCTGAGATGAAATTGGAATGGGTGGTCGGTAGAATCAGTGGACGGCAGCAAATACCTGTGAGGTATGTTGGGCTGAGTGACTGGCCCAAGGTAACTCAGAGAGCTTCTGCGGCAGAGGCGGGATTCGAATCTGAGTCTCCCAGCTCCTAGTCTGGCGGTCTGACCACTACCTCACGCTGGCTCTCAGTGTCCATTGACTTGCTTACTTTGTTTATGGTCCACTTTTCTCTCAGAAGTGCAAGGCAGGTGGCAGTCATGCAGACTTGGGTCATGCTGTCTGTGTACCTAGGAGATAACTAGACGTGTGGGGATCACACTCT